AACTTTTAGCACTCACACAGAGGGAAAAGAGTATAGCTTGCACAAAGGATTAAAAGACCAGTTTTTATTTTATTTTATTTATATTTTGAGATGGGGTCTTGCTGTGTCGCCCAGTCTGGAGTGCAGTGGCGTGATCTTGGCTCACTACAGCCTCTGCATCCCACCTCAAGTAATCCTACTACTTCAGCCTCCCAAGCAGCTGGGGCTACAGGCACACATCACCACACCTGGCTAATTTTTGTATTTTTTGTAGAGGCAGGCTCTCACCACGTTGCCCAGGCTGGTCTCAAATTCCTGCACTCAAGTGATCCTCCTGCTTCAGCCTCCCACACTGCTAGGATTGCAGGTATGATCCACTGTGCCTGGCCTCCGGTTTTTATTATAGCATTACAAGAAATAAACCAGACAGAGATTCTATGCAGAAAGAGATTTCAAGTGTTATAGACTAGAACGTGAGCCATAATTCCCCTAAAACCCTGGGAACTATTTGATTTCTCAAAGGAAGGCATGTAGTGAGGTCATCCAGACAGGCTTAATCCCCAGCCTGAGGCCTCACCAGAGGTACCACTGTTTGGTTAAGAGTATATTATCATGTAAAAGCTAGTCTGGCATCTTAAATCTCAGTAAGCAGACCTCTTTCTATTGAATAAATGGTCCTTTTTGCTAAAATATGACATGAAATTAAATAAATATATGTATATTTATATTTTATATACCTATATATTTATATGAATTTATATCAATTCTGGGGAAAGGAGACTAATTTCTTGATCCATGCTTTCTCCTGCTATCTCCACCACCTTGCCTGAAATTTGGAATCACCTACATTTCAATTCTTAATCAACTGCTCATTTCACGTCTATACATATTTTTCCTGAATCATGCATTTTGACTCAAGGCCTTAAGTCACATTAGCATAGCCTTCCTTCCCCATTTCTTGTTTTTATGAAGATGAAGCATGAAGCATTTGTCTGCCTTTCTCTGCAATGGTAGTAAGGCTTCCTGACTCCTCTCTGCCTACTTTTTTTTTTTTTTTTTTTTTTTGAGACAGAGTCTTACTCTGTCACCCAGGCCAGAGTGCAATGGTGCCACCTCGGCTCACTGCAACCACTGACTCCCGGGTTCAAGCAATTCTCCTGTCTCAGCTTCCCACATAGCTGGGATTATAGGCACATGCCACCATGCCTGGCTAACTTTCTATATTTTTAGTAGAGACGGGGTTTCTCTGTGTTCCCCAGGCTGGTCTTGAACTCCTGAGCTCAGGCAATCCACCCACCTCGGCCTCCCAAAGTGCTAGGATTATAGGTGTGAGCCACCGCCCCTGGCCTCTCTGTCTACTTTTATGAGTTGGGGCTCCAAGCTTCGAGGGTTGCAAGACATATGTTATGTCTCTTAATTTGTCTAACTCTTCTGTTGTAGTTTAATACTCTTGGGTTGTGGTCTATGGAACTGTCTCTTCCTCAACTCATTTCTGGCTATTCATGGTCACTGGAGCCAAGTACTCTTATTCTTTTAACCACGGCCTCCTAAGAGTCATACACTTCTGTACTAACTACAGGTTCCTGGGCAGGCAGGTTACTCTACAGTTTCCAATGATATCAAAGAAAGAACAAAACCTAGTGACATCAGCTGACATTTTCTATGCTATCTTGATGGCAGGAATATGAATTAGCACACGATAGAAACAAACCAGAAGTCCAAAATATTAACATAGTATTAATCTCTTATTCGTAATAAAGGAATTAATGGTGAGAATAAAGAAATAGAAAGCCTGTATCATACAAATATGTAACTAAAAAATTTAAAAATGATTTCTTGAATGTAATCATCCCTCCCCAAAAGCTAATATTTTGTCATTCCAGATTTTTTCAGGAAAATTGTCTAGTATATATTTTCATTCATATGTTTGCTAGCACTTTATTTTTTCTGGTTTAATGATATTTTCCTTCATGCTTACTGCTAGTGACTTATCTTCACCTTCAATATATTTCATAAGCCTACATGTTGCTATTTTCTTTACTCCTAAATTAATTAAGAATTTCTCAGCAATAAAGCAGTCTCCTCCTCCTCATTGCTTTAACTCTACTGGTACCTAGAGAAAGGTAAGAGTCTATAGGACAGCTAGTTCTTAGACTTGCATTCTGGAAACACAAGAGACTTGCCAGGAGTGTAGGCTATGTGCATACTTCCGAAAAGAGTAAAGAATTATGGTTTCTTGGCTACAGATGTGATCGGGGGTTACACACATATTCAGTTGAAATATCCCAGTGACTTGTTCTTTTATTTTTTGCCAGCAGTTAGAAAAGTAGCTTTAGAGGCGTTTCTAATTCAGTACGTCTGGGGTGAGGACTAAGAATTTGCAATTCTAACAAATGATTTGGACACTGATGCTGTTCGTTCAGGGGCTGCACTTTGAGAACCACTGCCTATTTCAGTGGTTACATCCCCAGTTCCTAGAGACAGCTCACTGTATGAGCCATCACACAGCTCACACTCATCTGAGGCACCTATCCCTTTTGTATTTGCTTTTCATCAGCATGGGGGAGACAGAAGAATGCATAAGGCCACAATGAAAGTGTACAATTAGGGGAGTAGACAGTAGCAAAGCAGAATGGCATGGTAAGGGCTTAGAAATTTTTCCTTTTATTCATATGGAGGGTGGGGTGTGCTTTACGGTTTTTGGTCTTAAAGGGTACAGGAGCATTTCTTAATCCTCATTGTGTTTCAGAATCACCTGGTGTGCCCTCAGACATTTGAATTCAGTAGGTCCTTGGATAGGATCCAGGCATCTGCATGTTTATCCAGCATCCTGGATAATTTTGAAGCAGATTTTCTAAGGATTACATTTTAATAGTGATTTTAGAAGATAGAAATCCAAGTGGACACTTAATCCTACATGGGGGAGAAATCAAAGATACTATCAGGTATTTTCTTTTTACGAGTTGTACAAGGAAGTTTAGGCCCTAGAGGAGGGGGCAGCAGCTTATCTAATTATTTTAAAAAATAGGCAGAGAAGGAAGCAGAGCAGAAGATGACAGTGAAGACAGGAGGCAGTGAAGACCAAACGAGCTCTCAATTAAGAGGTGACTGCTTTTCGTTTGCGTGAAATGACCAAATGCAACAAGGAAGCAGTCTGGATGGAGAAATCCCTTTTAGTTATAAAGAGAGAGCTAGCAGAGAAGAATTGTTGCTTTTAAAAAAATCAGTTGTGAAAAGACAAAAAGAAGGAGGGGATGGCAAAGGAGACCAGGTGGCAAATTGGTGAGCTAGAGCAGGAGTGGGAGTAGAGATCACTGGGTGTTAGGACATGCCATCAGCAAGGAAGATTCCAGTGGCAACAGGGCATAAAATACTGCAGGTGCAGCCAATGCAGACCTGGGAATAAAACTACCTATTCGTTGTCTATTCAGTCATTAAAAGGAATGAAAATACTACTCTGTATGTGTGTTTATGTGTGAATGCATGTACATGTTTGTGTGTGTGTGTGAGTGTATGTGATAGAGAGAGAGAGAGATAAAGACATCAGGCCAATGGCATCAGTTTGGATGTCATGAGTATGTCTGAGTATTCAATTTTCTCATCAGGCATTAGGAATATCAAGGAGCTTATCTCTCTTATATTAATAACAGAAGATAGAAACCCTTGCAAGATCAGCCTTCAGAAGGCAAAAGAGAAAGACATAATATGCACATATTGGGAAAAATGTTCTCCTGTCTGTGGAGCAATGTAGCAGAGTCTTATTTTCAGTCCACCTGTGTGCATACATATATGTATACACAAGATTCAGTTTTTACAACTACTTCATGTCCTTTAGTTCCCTCCAAACTGAAACGTTCATTTGATTTCAAATCTTTCCTTTAAATGCTTCTTTTTTCATACGAAATATCTTTCTTTTTCCTTCCCTAACTGAACCCTAGCTTCAGAACCCTAAGATTTTCCCTGAGTGTTTCTAAGTTCTCTGGCCTTTTCTATCTCTGAATTTAAATCATAGGCAAGGATTATCCTCTATGCACAGCTCACCCTCTACCATTCTCCTGAGCTCAAGCACAAAAACACTGTATTCTGGAAGTTCCCAGTAAATTATTGTTCAGTGAATTAAAAAAGAAAATACAGGTTGAATCCTCTGGTGATGGATACTTTTGGCTTCCTACCTGGCATCCTTCCCATTCCACCCTTTCCTATCACAGAATATCCACTGATTGGTGGGGATGACTCCACCCCCTAGCTCTAGGAATAGGCCTTGATTGCTTTAACCAATCAGTGGAATTCCTCCCCTCTACTACTGTGATTGGTTTAGGCAGAGGCCTGGGCCAATCAGAATGAAGCTCAGAACTTTTGCTCTGTAGTCGGGAGACGTTCTCTCTCATAGTGGACAGTGTGGGGTGCAGATGTGATGACTACAATTGTTGCAGTTAGCTATTGTGAGGGAAGCCAGCTTGAGGATAAAGCCAACACTCAGAAGGCAGAGCATCATTTAGAATGGGAGTTGGAATTCTGCTAACTCTGGAGGGTACAGTCCTTTGAGCCAATATATTTCCTTTATGGTTTAAGCCAGAAAATGAGGTTATCTATTACTAACCTCCCTGCTATTTATGGAGTTCCCTCTATTTTTAAATCTTTGGGACACTATGTAATTCGTCTTCTTGCAACTTAATTCATTTAGGAAAATAGCACTCTTGGATAGCATTTTCTCCCCTAGTAAAATCAGTACATATTTTGCTGTTTATGCTGAATCTAACACAAGTCATGTTCACAACAGCTAAAATAATAAATTTGAGAACTGTTGCTACCCTAATTTTTGCTTAAAACAATTAGTGTTCTTATACACTTACATAGTACTGATATAGACTTCTTATTAACTTATGTAGCAAACATTTCCTGAACATTTAAATTCATTCTAATTGCATATAGGTAGGCATATGGTATATATGGGCACTTTGTCAAAGATTAGCTTTTGTTCAACATTCCTCAGTGTTTTCGGCAATATTAAATATAGATACCTTTTCGATGAAACTGAAGAGACCCCAGCAGACATATGGATTTTAGCATCTCTGTGGTATACATTTCTAAGCAGCACTGCAGCTGGATATAAAGCCGACAGATTTCTGGATGGATCTCACCATCTTCTGGGCTGCAAGAGAATGAAAGAGAAAAGCTGTGAACATTCTCAGATTTCACTCATCAGCCATTTTTCCGAGAGGGAAAAATGCTCAATAAAGATTCCTTAAAGACTTGATCCTAAAATATAGGACTTCCTGCTTTCAAACCAATGACCAATGTGACAGTTCTTATATAAGTGTCTTTCTGACTAACAGTTCTTAATTTTTTTTCCCCTTCAGCAGCAGAGTTCTGCTGGGAGCTTAAAATCATAAATGCTTTACATAATTGAAAATATCAGACATCTTCAATTTAGCTGTTGGAACAAATTCCAAAATATATTTAAACCATAAGAATCTCCTAGCCTGCAAGAAGAGATTAAAAAGACTTGTTTTTAGAGAAACTGACAGGAGCAATTCAATTACCAGTTGTAAGTCAGCTCTTTAATATTAGGGCCCTAGTATAATATGATTAGAGAGCAATTTACAAATTATTTTTATCAAGATTTTTTTTGTCTCAGTCTAAAGGATCTTCCTGTATTGTTTGCTATGGCTAATTTATGAAAGACCAAATGTTTTTTAATGAAAAAATGAAAATTTTATGAAAAAAGGAAAGTAATAAAATCCTGTTAATTATGCTTAACACTCTAAAGCTATATACACTGAACTTATGATCTAAAATTCTAAAGTCCTTGTGTCTTTTTCTATTAAATATGATAAAACATAAAAATGTGAATATGATAAAACAGGAAGCAATCACTTTTGTTTTTGTTTGAGGAGAGAAAAATTAGTTGTTGATAAAATAATACTCTATTTTATGTGACTAACGTTGAATAAAGTAAACCAAATAAAAGGGATAAAGTTTAGAGAGATGTTAGAAATAAAATAAAAACTAAAAGTGAACTCTATCAAATGTCTTAATGAGTTAAGTTGACTGCTATCCCTATTAATTTAAAATGCAATGAAATCTGATTTTTAAATATAGCATTTGTATTTGATTTCTTTGTAATGTGGGTCAGTGGCAAAATATCAGGAGGTAATTATCAGATAAAAATAGTGGCTTGAAGTTCTGGAATCACAGTAAAGAGAATTTGTGTGTACACAGCACTTTACAATGATAATTAGTTTTCATTTTCAATAGATGAGCAAGAGTTGATCTAACCATATGGCTTATATAACACAAGAAAATGCAAAATTCTTAGCCTCAGCATCAGTGATGCCTGCACATGTCTTTCCTGTGTCAGACAGAATAAAGTATCTCAAAAGAGCTTTCAGGTAAAATTTGGCTTTATCTGAAAATTAAAAGATGTAATTTTTTCATTTGTGTCTCATGGGTGACACCCTAGGCCAACTTTGGAAGCAAATGTATTTCTGGGGAAAGTATTGGGTTTTTTTTCAGAGTATCCTTCCATAGTTGCCTTCCACCCTCAAGCTGTCCTCACCACTCAGACATACCCAGACACACCCACACCCACCCCCCCACACACCTCTGATTATTTCATATCATCTTCAGCCTGTCAAAATGTCTCTGACTGTGTCCTATTCCCTCATGGACCTGCTAGATTCTGAACAGATAATGGGCATTAATGGTTCATGTAATAAAAATTGATCCTCTTTTATTATCTACTAATACATTAATTTTCAGAGCAGAATCTGAAGATAATGTCTTAATCTACAAGAAGGGTAAAGGGAAAATATTTTCAGGCAGACAGGTCTTTTCTATGTTGGTTCATCATCCCAACATCAGCTGCCTATTTTCACCTACAGATAACATTGGCCTTGGTGGCTCACAGGCAGGTATTTTTTTAAATTTTATTTTATTTTTAATGGATACATAATAATTGTACATACTATGGTATATAATGTGATGTTTTGGTACATGTGTATATTGTATAATGATCAAATCAGAGTAGTTGTCAGATCCATTACCTCAAATATTTATCATTTCTTTGTGGTGAGAACATTCAGAATACTCTCTTGTAGCTATTTTGAAATATAAAATACATTATGGTTAACTATACTCACCCTACTTACTGTGCAATAGAACACCAGAACTTATTCCTTTTATCTAACTGTAACTTTGAAGAATATAAAATGCTGCACAACTTTGCATGTCATCCTTGCTTAGGGGCCATGGTAATCTTTTCTGTATTATTTCAATTTTAGTGTATATGATGCTGAACACTCATATGCAGATTAAAAAAAAATCTGTTGTATGTATTGCACATTTTATGAGTGGGACAATTAGCCAGTACAGTAGCATCCAAGCCATGGAACGTTCTTATTTTCAGAAGTCTAAAATATGTGCCTTGTGGCTTAGTTTCAAAAATATGCAAACTTCATATATGGATGACATTTTATGTAATTTAAACAAATGACTACCATATTAACATATTTTAAGAATCTGTATATTTTGTTTATTATTTCACAGCTAGAAAAAGAGAGGTAAAGCATGTATTAGGTGCTTCTGAGAAAAGGCAAGTCAAAACAGACTAAAATGCCTAATTCAAAATATTTATTTGGGTGCCATCTCCCAAATGCCTCCAACCCACAGAGATTCTGGAAACTGGACCCCTCAAAAATGTTACAAGAAGGAATTGAATAGGTACCACCAGAAATCCAACCTGCCTAAAAAAATTAATTGATGCTAAAGTTGCATCATAAATTTTCTGGGTAACAAAGTCGTATACACACTCATATGTTATCTTTTAATGTCTAGGGAAACTGCAATATAGCGAAAGAAAGGAAGTATTTAAAGAAGAGTGGAAAAGCTAAGGTATCTTTTATGTTAGAGTTTCATGATGCCTAGACTAAGTTACATTAACCTCAGGCCTTGTACAATTTATTTATCCCTCTTTAGAGCTTAATATTTATCACCATTAGTGATTACTGAAAGTTCATTGAAACACAATTTGTCAAACGAGTTATAATACGTCTGATGTTATAAACAGTGAACTGAAATACATTTTCGAGAAATATTAAGAGCATTTGCATTATTTTAATAACAAATGAGTAAGAGTTGAATCATGGAGAGTGAAAGAAGAGCTAAGAAAATAGCAATAAAAGCTTGAAACTTCCTAGGAATAAATTACAAGACCTAAGGAAACATTTACAGTAAAATGAAGTTGGACCTGTGTAATTCCTACAGGAACTGGAAGCAACTTAACTTAGAGGCAATTTTACCATATGTTACTTATGTTTAGTCTAACACAATTCACTCTAGTTAATCGGAGTTTAGGTCTGTGAGAGTCACCCCAAGGGTGATTCATTTAATTCAGTCAAATATGTTTTATGAGTTAGTGATTAGATTGTGATTATTTATTTTTCTATTGAGTGTAAGTCAAGAGCTAAGCTAATCATTTTGATTAATTTCAAAGCCTTAGTATTAATAGAAAAAAACCTAAGAATTAAATTCAACAAAATTTCAGTCCTTTAGAGCTCAAGTTGAATCCTAAACCATTTAAAATAATGACCAAATTATAAATCTGCTTTCAACCAACTCCTTACAGATCAGGATTTAATGACTAAATCATATGGCTGAGGACACCTGAACTGCTGTAGGAGGAGGATGACATGAATACAGACTTTGCCTAAGTTGCCTCTTGATAATGGAAACTCTCTCTGTTGTTAATATTCTTATTTTGTAGTTCAAAAAGTAATATGATAAAGGTCTGCCAGAATGGCTAACCGTAAAAAGACTCATAATGCCTAATGTTGGTGTTGATGTGGAGCAACAGAAATGCTCATACATTTTTGGTGGTAATTAAATGGTCTACAACACCTTTGAAAAAAGTTCTGGAAGTTTCTTATAAAGCTAAACATACACCCATCCTATGACCTCACATTTCCACTTCTAGGTATTTGGCCAAGAGAAATAAAAACATATTCACAAATAGAGTTCTACAAGAATATTCATTGTATTTTATCTAGATTAATCCCAAACTGGAAACAGCCAAGGTGTCTGTCAAGAGAAAAATGGTATAAAGAAATTAGTACACTTCTACAATAAAATAATACTCAACAATTAAACGAAGCTAACTCCTGATCCTCAAAACAACATAGATTAATCACAAAAGCAGTATCTTGAATGAGAAAATCCTTACACAAAAGAATTAATACTGCATTATTTCATTGATAGAGGTTCTAGAACAGGTAAAATGGACGGTAAATATTAGAACAGTGGTGGGGAATTGGCTGAGAAGGAGCATAAGTAAACTTTCTGGGGTAAGGATGATATTCTACATCTAGGTGGAGGTTTAGTTATACGGGTGTATATATTTGGCAAAATGTATTTAATGGTGCACTTAAGATTTGCATTTGATTACATGCAAATTTTCCTTAAAAAAAGAAAATCCAATATTGAACTCAGTTAATACTATGTATACTGAATTGTTTACAAGTAAAGTTTACTGATGTCTGCAGGTTTAGGAAAATAATATGGATTGCTGGTTGGACAGAGAGATAACACAGGTAGATACATAATAAAGCAAGTATCATAAAATGTAAATTATAGAATCTAGGGAGTGAATATTTACTTGATGACTGAGGATTTACATTTCCCTAAATAATTACATGGGATAAACTAATCAAAACAACGGCGAGGCTTTATAATTGGAAGGGTCAAGTTCAGGAGTTAACACACCGGGGATTTTAGTTACGAAATGTCTTGGCTCTGCATCTGTCTGCTCTTTTGCTGAGGTTGCCAGACTTCAGAGGCCTATGTAGCCGCTAATAGCTTTTTAAAAACAGCAAAATGTTTGTTGTTTTAATGGTCTGTCCCTAATGTAATGATTTATGTATTTAGTTGAATGGAGTAAGACATAATGAAAGGAAAATGAGTCCTGGAGTCAGAAAACGTAGATTTAAATATAGGTTTGCCCCTTAGAATTGTCATCTTTGGAAAACTACTTTAACTTCTCTGAGACTCAGTTTTCTTAGCTGTGAAATTGGAATAACACCTATATGAAGTATCTCAAGGCTGCTGCAAGGATCAAATTAAATCTGTGTGGGAAAACAAGTATAAAAGGCAAAGGAT